GCAGCCGTTCGCGACAGCTTTTAGCAAACCCCCAAATGTGGGTGTAGCGCTGCCTGCAGAGCGGCCCTGCGCCCCCAGCCCTTCCCGCTGGCGCAGAGGGGTGGGGGTGGGAGGGGGCGACCCCTCCCTCGGTCAGCCCAGCGGAGCCTGCAGCCCAGGCCGGCACCATCCAGGGACCCCCCAGCCTGTCCCTGCCCGGGGCAGGAGCTGCTCTTGCTCGCAGGAGAAGCTGCTGCACCGCCAGCTTGCACGGTGCGGGGTGGAGAAGTTGCCCAGCACCTCCCGCACGGGGCCCTCTCCCCACCGCACCTGGGGGGAGATCACACCATGGGGAGCACCCCTGCACGCTCTGTGGGGCTCATTTTAGCCTCTTCCTGACACCTCTGCAAGATTAATTCCCAGGGCACCACTAGAGACCCCATCCCGCAAGGGCTTCCTGGGGACATGGGTGTGTTGCCCCACATGGTCCCAGCACTCGCTCACACTCAGGAGCTGCTTGTGGTGTCCTCAGCCCTTCCTGGCCCTACACCATCCCGCAGGACTCTGGTTTGGCCCGTACCTCTCTCGATCTGACTTCTGCTGCCCCAGGACAGGGTATAAATATTCCTGTGCCATTCACAGCGGGCCCTCTCTCCCAGCCAAGGGTGGGAGCAACGGGGGATACAGGGGTTTAGGGAGGTATATATTCCTCCAGGCTCCCATCCCATCCCAAATGATGGTGCCAGGACAGCCAAGCCCAGGTGTCAGCATGGAGGGATGATCCCGGGGAAACCCCGAGCTCCCCACCTGCGAGGCTGCAGCCCTGCTCAGCAGAAGACAGACTTGGTGGGGCTCAATCTTGTTTCTGGGCAAAGGCCAGAAGTACTCCCTGGAGAGAACCAAGCCTGGCCTGCTCCTGCGATCGCCCTGAGGTGCTGTGGGCTCTGCAGAGCAGGCAGCTACCACCTGCTTCCAGCTCCTGGGAGAGGGGGAGAGGTGCTGCCCCCTTGCCCTGTCTGGCAGCCCAGAGACCAAAGGGCTCCCCCAAAGCATGTCACTGAGATCCAGTTCACTGCTGCTCTGGGAGTTTCCAGCTCTCTGGGGAGGTGCATGGGATGGAGCAGGACCGCAGCCTCCTCTGCCACAGGGGAAGACCCACCACTGCAGGCCAGAAAAATGGGTGTGGTGGAGGTGCCTAGAGGGTCCAGCAGTTTCCATGCTGGGGGTGTCGTTGTTTCAGACATCCCACTCCAGGCCTGTTTGACAATTTGGGTCTCCAGCTGGGCTGGCATCCCAGACCCCTCTGCTCCCTGCTCCCCTTGGCTCCCTGGCAGCTCTCCGCTCTCCAGCCCTGAGCAGCATCGGGCTCCGCTAGAGCATGATGGTCCCTTCCAAAGCAACTGTGCTAAAGCTAACCCCTCTAAGCACTGTGCCGCCCAACAGGTCCTTCCTATTCCTTTGCCAGCCTCAGAAGCAACATGATCTTCACTTGCTGGATGAGCCCTGTGCTGTTGGTCTGCCACACGTGCCGCACAGGGGTCTCCACTACCTCCAGCTCTGTAATGACACAGCCCCTTGGCTGAAGTTGTGCCTGGGGAGCAGGCACTGGGCGCACACCCAGCTCCGAGATATCGGGCAGCAGAGCTGGCAGCAGCTCTCCTGCCTTCGAGGTGTGTGGGGGACCCCACTGGCAACCCTGAGCTGGTGGGGGCACAATTGGTTTGTTCCCCAGCCCCTCTGCCAGCAGCAGCACTGGGGCAGCGGCACTGAGTACTGGTGCACGGCTGGCAGCATTAATGCTGGGCTTCCTGCACAGAGCACCCAGCTGCAGAAGCATGCTGAGCTATGCTGATAAACCAGCCTTGGATGCACAGTTCTCAGCATGTGCAGCGGTATTTATCCCGCCTCTGGTCCCGCAGGTCTGCACCTCTCCTGGTTTCATTCACCCCAGGTAATGACCCAGACACATCCTCACAGACCCACTGCAAAGGGCCAGCGGTAGGGACCCAGCTGCAGTGCCAGGCAAGGAGAATTCAGTCTCTTTCGATCCCCTGGCCTTTCCCCTGGGCATGGCAGCAGAGACGAGTACAGAGGCAGGCATTACCCTGCTGTCCTGCCAGTGACGCTCTGGCAGCACAGACCTGCAGGCAGCGCAGGGCTGCACAGGCTGCCGGAGCCCTGGCAGCAGGGAGAGGAGGGTCCCGGGACCCCTCTCTCCTCCCTCCTTCCACCTGCTTCAGCAGCATGTGGGAGCTTTCCCGGCCTTGTCCCTCCTCCCCAGGAACACCTGACACCCACGGACCTGCGTTGCTCCCGCTCCCCCCATACCCAACACTTTGTGACCACTCCCAAGGTCACAAATTGGCTGGACCTGGCTGGCCCCATCTCCCAGAGGAAGCCAGGGAGGGGGGACCTGCCACCCCAGGGGGATGCTTGGGCCAGGCACCCACCCCTGGCTGACAAAAGCAGCTGGATGTGCTCAGGGAGGAGGGGGAGGAGGAGGTTAGCTCTTGGCTTCACTGCACCACACTGTTTGCCTATGGCAAGCACATGTGTAGCCTGACGCTGCCACTCCTCTGTGTGCCGAAACCAGGGCAGCTCCCGTGAAGCACCGTGTTATTATAAACAGTGACATCATGCTGGCCGAGTTTTGGGGCTCTTAGACCCGCTTCCCAGAGCACCCCACAGCAGAGGGCCCTGGCGGTGCCCAGCTCCCAGGCAGGGGAGAAACTCCTCTGACTCCCTGGGGCTGTGGGAGCAGCAGGGCTCTCTGTGCCTCCTCCTCCTCCTCCTCTCCTTCCTGGGGATTGCACCCTTGGGTGTGAGGATGTGCCAAGATCTTCCCAGACAGCAGGTCCCTGGGCACCACGTAGCTGGGTTAGTGCCAAGACTGGCATGAAGACAGGCAAGAGCAGCAGGACCTGGGGGTGGACGTAGGGCTGTCCCTGCCCAGAGAGGTGGCCGGACCTGGGAGTGGGTGCACCCCACAGAGACATGGCAGGACAAAGGATGGGTGAAGGGCTGTTCCCCAGCTCTCCACCTGGGGTGTGGATGGAAGCTGGGCAGGGCAGGGTGCATGGCCAGGGGGGGACACATGGAAAGGTGTCCATGAAGCGGTGGGACAAGCAGTGTAGCCGGAGGTGGGAGAGGGCAGCAGCACAGCAGCTCTGCTGTGGCCAGACCAGCCATAGGGACCATCCGCCTGCACAAAACTGGTGAACTGGTGCCATTTGCTTAGGACAGGGCACTCGTGCCTAAGCACATGTCCCCATTTCTCAGGCGTGACTCACGTCCTGCTGGGATCCAGGGCAGGATCAGGTGTGATGGATTCCTCACATCCTGCTGCTGGCACAGGCACCAGGTAGCCTCCTGCCTGCCCTGGGGTTGCTGCATCACCCGGGATGGGAAGGAGCCATGTGACAAGGAAGGTCCCACTTCTGGGGCACCACACTGCCCGAGGAGGAGCAATGCTGTTGCGGGCACTGAGGACTCCAGTTGTTATGCCTG